TGTTGTTGGCTGAACATTAATATTGTATTTTAAATGCAATTTTCTTAGCGACATTTATAAATGACGATATCCCATAGAGGGCTGCGTCATTTCGCTTTATAAGTAAAGACTTGATTTAAGAATGTTTAGATATTTGTACTGGAAAACATCTAATATAAAAGTAAGACAATCATTTTCCAGTGTATTTTGAACATCTATTCTTCTATTTTAGAACTTTTGTTACATTTTGAACTTTTAAAGAAGACTACTTTGCAATGAAATACTTGCTATACCTAGAAAAATCATAGCCTGTTAGTATTGCCAGGGTCTCTAATATTCAAACGTGTTTTTATATGCATGTTTGTGTCTCTGTGTGAGTGTGCGTGTGGTTGTTACTGGCGTCTCTTCACCTACCATCTCTGATTGTTCTTGGTTCTCCAGTGTGCAGTAAAGTGACCAATGCAAACAACACCATCAGGGTCTCCTCCAACCCTGAGAAGCACCGCTTTCCCATCTGACGAACACAGTGTAAACAGCCATAAGCGTACATTAATTAATCTCCCTGCATTCCATTGACATTCACAGTGCATGCCTTTGAGTCTATGTATGAAACGCACAGGTTAATAGTCACTTTTGCCATATTTTGTTTCACAGAGTTTAACCTTTCCTGTAATACAGTTCTTTAGATGTATTCCATGAAAGCATAAAACATCCAAAATTTCAAGAGATATAAAAAGACAAAACAGTTAGAAACACACTCCTTATTTCATTCAATTCTGCAATCTGTTAATGTCCAATAGAGGTACTTCATGCTGCATCTGTAACAATCTGACAATATAAATGCTTCTATTCTCCATATATACACTGCCGTTCAAAAGTTTGGGATCGGTACGATTTTTTATGGTTTTTGAATAAGTTTCTACTTCTCATCAAGGCTGTATCTATTTGATAAAAAAATACAGAATAAAAATTTTTATTTTGTGAAATATCATTGCAATTTAAAATAAGAGTTTTCTATTTTAATAGACTATAAAATATAATTTATTCCTGTGATGCGCAGCTGTATTTTCAGCATCATTATTCCAGTCTTCAGTGTCACATGATCTTCAGAAATCAGTATAATGTGCTGATTTATTAGTGTTGAAACTGTTGTGCTGCTTAATTTTCTTGATTCTCTGATTAATAAAAAGTTAAAAAGAACAGCATTTATTTAAAAAATAAATGTTGTGTTACATTATACAATGCTATTCAAAAGTTTGGGGTCAGTACATTTAGTCTTTTCTTTTTTTTTAAAAGAAATTAATACTTTTATTCAGGAGGGATGTGTTATAGTAAAGTCATAGTAAAGACTTCTATTGTTAGAAAATATTTCAGTAACACTTTACTTGAAGGGGTGTGCATAAGACTGACATTACACCTTCATAATCATGACATGACACATGTCATGAGTATGAAGGAGGTTTTATGCATGTTTATGACAACTGTCATTAAGTGTCTTTCGCTCAGTTATGTCATTTTTAATGCAAATATGACATTATTTCACCTAACCCTACCCCTACCCTTACCCCTAACCATAGCCCATAACAAAGACATCTCAAACAATGTCATCTTTGCATTAAAAATTACATAACTGAGCGAATGACACTTAATGACAGTTGTCATAAACATGCATAAAAAACCTTCATATTCATGACATGTGTCATGTCATGATTATGTAGGTGTCATGTCATGATTATGAAGGTGTCATGTCAGTCTTATGCACACCCCTTCAAGTAAAGTGTAACCAATATTTCTATTTAAAAAGCATTTTTGCTTTTTTTCCAAAGTCAGAAGTAATGAACACAAAGTGTAGACAGTCATAGTGAGGCTCAGAGCACAAAAAGGCTCTGTCAGGTTGAAATGTGTGATCCAGCTGGGCATCTTCAGATAGATTCAACCTTATCTAAACTGACTGGCAGTCGGTTCAAAACTGAAATAGAATCCACCATTAAACTGCTTGAGGAAGTTAAAGACCTTTACCTCTCTCTCTCTCTTTTTTTTTGACTGGTTGAAAAAGCAAATGACTTCATGCAATGCATGAAAAACATTGAACATAAAAAAACACTCCCCCATGTCAGGCTTGAGAATTTGTATGAGGGACGATAGCCTTGAGATTACAAAAAATATTCTGGGTCTCGCAAAAGAAACATGAATTCTTTGTCAATCACATTCTCTCCAAACCACAATAACAAGCTCTGGAACAATAACCGTGTCACTGAGAATCTCAGGTTTTTAATTAGACTGTCAAGTTGTCAGTGTTGTTTATTACTTTCGTTATTATACAACTCTCATTAAAATTCTTATTTATTTAATCTTTTTGTTTTATTTAAAATAAATGTAAGAAAAGTAGTGCATAAATCTCTAAAATCAATTTTCATCCAAAATATCATGATTAAAGAATACAATATAGTTTGTTTTGAATTACAAAAAATGCTAAAAAAAAATAAACTGTAAGCAATAAATGAAAATTGTTCATATTTTGTCGTGGCATTTTATAGTAATTTCTAATAATAACATTTTTTAGGAAATATTCATTATACTGATTTATGTACCTACATTTTCTACTTGTATTTTACACTTTACTATGTCAGTGTTATTTTGGTATTATTTATATACTATTATAATATTTATTAATATGTTGAATTAGCTGTTAATTTTATATTTTCAGTTTTATATTATTTTTACATTTCCTCTTTCAATGTTTGTTTTATTTAAGTTTTATTTTGAGTAATTTTAGAACTTTTTTATGCATGTTTATGACAACTGTCATTAAGTGTCTTTCGCTCAGTTATGTCATTTTTAATGCAAATATGACATTATTTCACCTAACCCTACCCCTACCCTTACCCCTAACCATAGCCCATAACAAAGACATCTCAAACAATGTCATCTTTGCATTAAAAATTACATAACTGAGCGAATGACACTTAATGACAGTTGTCATAAACATGCATAAAAAAACCTTCATATTCATGACATGTGTCATGTCATGATTATGTAGGTGTCATGTCATGATTATGAAGGTGTCATGTCAGTCTTATGCACACCCCTTCAAGTAAAGTGTAACCAATATTTCTATTTTGAACAAATGCTGCTCTTTTTAACTTTGTATTCATCAAAGAATCAAAGAAAAAAAGTATCACAGGTTCCAAAAAACAATATAAAGCAGCACAACAGTTTCAACACTGATAATAAATCAGCATATTAGAATGATTTCTGAAGGATCATGTGACACTGAAAATACAGCGCTGCGCCACAGAAACAAATTCTATTTTAAAGTATATTAAAAACCAACATTAGAAATTGCAATAAGATTTCACAATATTACAGTTTTTCTGTATTTTTGATCCAATAAATATAGCCTTGATGAGCAGAAAAGACTCCCTTAAAAAACATAAAAAATCATATTGATACAAAACCTTTGGACGGCAGTGTATATATATATATATATATATATATATATAGTCCTACCTTTTTGTCAGATGGAAGTACACTGTTGTTGATTCCTTTTCCAGTCCTGTGTGCAGCATGAAATCAGAGCACACAAGAAGAGCAGGAAGAGCTGAGCTTGACTGTCTGTTATATATAGCAAAGCAATGAAATTAAGTGGGTGTGTGGGGGGGTGTTTTTTTTGTTTGTTTTTTTCAACGCATGATAGTCTCTACCAAAGGTCATGGCTGTTGAGGCAAGCGTCTGTGTCCATGCTGTGCTGTTTGTTTATGTAAGGCACGACACAGCATTTTTTTCCATTCATGATGTGAGCGTGACATTATCTACCTGAAATACTATTAATGGCCACTTTATCACTGCTGGATTTAGCTGTCAAAAAACAGAGTTGTCGTGGGAATTCCACATCTGTTGTTGAAAAAAAAAGAACATTATGCAAGATATTTTCTGTTCCAGAATAAATTGCATGTACTCTTTCAAAATGCTTCAAAGAAGCAATTACATAAGTTTTCATGAGACGTGCGATTTTCAAGATGTGCAAATGGAGTGATGTGTTGAATGAGAGCTTAGGGACATACAATTATTTGCAGAGTAATAGGTATATTTTAATGAAGCAATTGCATGTACCATTTATGGGCCTCTTTGAGAATTTATTAAGCTGGATTGTTTTATGTTGTAAGGATTGACCTTTGATTAGTGTTGTAGTACTCAAGACCAGTCTTAAGACCATTTTTTGAAGGTCTTGGTCTTGTCATTATCTCGACTGCATTTGTACTCAGTCCTGTCTTGGACTCAAGACCAAGACCTTGGTCAAGACCACAGCTGCGGGGATAACACTAAATTGCCGGTGAATTGGCGTCATTAATGTGTATCCAAAATTCAAGCCTAACAGCGTGAAGCAAACTGTGGAATGTGTATCCCGATCTGGGAAGTTTTTCACCTTTTAAGAAAAAACAAAATCACACTGGACAAAATGATCCAACAGTTAAAATTCGGAAAAGAGGACGTAAAGGAGGAGTTCGTCAGAAACTGAAAAAAATAAGTCTCTCTAAAATTCCTCTTCCTACAATTATTTTGGCGAATGTGCAATCTCTACGGAAAAAAATGGATGAGCTTCAAGCTATGGTTAAATTCCAGCATGACTACAGGAATGTTTGCTTGATGGCACTCACATAGACTTGGCTTTCCGAAGGGGATTCAGATTCGGGTCTATGACTGGATGACTTCGGATGACCTGTTCGTATGGACCGGGATGCGAGGTAAAGCGGTAAATTGCAAGGAGGTGGGCAGGGGCGTAGCAGCCGTGGGGGATGGGGGGGACATGTCCCCCGCACTTTTAGTAAAAGGTTATTCTGTCCCCCTGCACTTTGTTTTAACCACCGCCGATATTTAGATATTTCCGCCCGTGTTCTCTGATTTGTTTATTTAGATTTCAGTGAACTAACATTCAGCCAATCACAAGGCGAATCATCTCTTGGGTGTGTCTGTCATCAGCTTCAAATCTCCTCCCGTTACTCTCGCGATTTCACTAACTTTGCTCTTTGGGCGGTTTGGGGGTAAAATGCACCCCAGAAAAAAGCAGATGATTACGTCCTTTTTCAAACACTGTAAGTATGTTATGTCACGATGACACAAATCACGTGATTGAATTTCTACGTTATGATTTGATCTAACGGGGCATCTACACCGGATGCGACAAAAGAACCTGTTAAGAATGAGGCATGTGACCTTGCGCTGGATCCAATGTGTGTTACAAACCCGATTCCAAAAAAGTTGGGACACTGTACAAATTGTGAATAAAAACAGAATGCAATGATGTGGAAGTTTCAAATTTCAATATTTTATTCAGAATACAACATAGATGACATATCAAATGTTTAAACTGAGAAAATGTATCATTTTAAGGGAAAAATAAGTTGATTTTAAATTTCATGGCATCAACACATCTCAAAAAAGTTGGGACAAGGCCATGTTTACCACTGTGTGGCATCCCCTCTTCTTTTTATAACAGTCTGCAAAGGTCTGGGGACGGAGGAGACAAGTTGCTCAAGTTTAGGAATAGGAATGTTGTCCCATTCTTGTCTAATACAGGCTTCTAGTTGCTCAACTGTCTTAGGTCTTCTTTGTCGCATCTTCCTCTTTATGATGCGCCAAATGTTTTCTATGGGTGAAAGATCTGGACTGCAGGCTGGCCATTTCAGTACCCGGATCCTTCTTCTACGTAGCCATGATGTTGTAATTGATGCAGTATGTGGTCTGGCATTGTCATGTTGGAAAATGCAAGCTCTTCCCTGAAAGAGACGACGTCTGGATGTGAGCATATGTTGTTCTAGAACTTGGATATACCTTTCAGCACCTCTGGTGCCTTTCCAGATGTGTAAGCTGCCCATGCCACATGCACTCATGAACTGAGCACTGATAACAACTTGAGTTGTCCTCTCCTACTTGTAAGTTGTTTTGGATAAAAGCATCTGCTAAATGAGTAAATGTAAATATGGACAGCGTAACTGATTATTGGGTTCTTTTGTCGTGTCACGCCACTCGTGTGCGGAGTAGAATTATCCTTTCCCAATAAAGCAAAGTTGTTTTGCGCCGAATACTTATGCTATCTCATCATACTTTATCATATTTTAGTATTTTAATTCATTACAGCTATGTTCTTAACTTTAACTGGTCTGTCACTGACAGAGAGGGAGGGGAGGACAGTTGCTCGACACAGGTGAGAACTGTTGAAAGAAGATAATTATTTTAAGGCAGTGCTTTTTTTAACTGGGACTACTTGCCAATGTTTTAAGGAATTAAACATTAATATATATATTTTCATTTTATGTTCAAATTGTTAAATAAAATTTGTTGTATAGGTAAAGGCAGTGTGTTCCAATAGTTTTTAAAGACACTTTTTTTTTGTACAACTGTTAAGAATTAGGGTAAAAGTTATTGTTTAAGTGTAGTGTAAATTAAATATTGTGCATAAAAATATCTTTATTTAATAAAAATAAAGTACAGATGTCCACAGTGGTCTGAAAGTCCCAAGTCCTGCAGTTATTTTTAAATTAGGGTTAGAGTTAGGGTTTTTGAGTCTGATATCACAAAAAATAGGTCTCTGTAAGCTGTCTTGCTTCATGTAAGCTATCATGGCATGCTCCCAAAATTGCCATTAGGGTGCTCTAAAACACGCCAATTTATTATGTGAACATGAATGTACTTTGTACATGTACATAATTTGTTTGGCCCCTACTTTTAAAATGGCTGCTACGCCCCTGGAGGTGGGGTATGTCTGTATATTAGAGAGAACTGGTGCAAATCAGTGTCTGTTAAGAAGAGAGTGTGCACGAAAGATATTGAGCTGCTGACAGTGGCATTAAGACCTCAGTACTTGCCTCACGAGTTTCCTCAGCTGTTTGTCACGGTTGTTTATATTCATCCCCGAGCAAACGAGGACAATGTGGCAAGGGGGATTGTACCTCCTGATGTACCCAGATTTATTCTGGGAGATTTTAATAATTTTACATTGGAGAAATCACTGGGACACTTCAACCATACTGCAGTTATGTTTTTTGAAGCGTGCATTTCCGTGGTTAGAGCGATCTATATTCCTATCGTTATGGCGAGCACTAGCAAATCGTTTAGAGGGTGTGTGCATCCGTGTCGTCGTTATTTGACACCTGATGACACACACAATCTCTGCGTTGTATGTTTGGACAAAGAGCATGCACGCGATGTCCTTGAGGGGGCAATCCGCATTCATTGTGAGCGTATTTTAATGAAAAGTTCCACTCTCGTTTGTCTCTCTTTTCAAGGAAAGGGGGGCAGCCATCTGCTTCCTGCGGCTCAGGACCCACCGCTGCTGAGGCACGGAGGAGGATGGGCTCATAGGGATCGCAGGTGGATCCGGCTGATGAGTTTAAAAAGGGGTTTTCCCCCTCGCTCTCGTCGGCTGTGGACGAGAGTAAACTGCTGGAGGATGATGTTATTTCTTTAACATCATTTGATCCGGGGGCCAGTGCTCTGCTGGGTTCGGCCCAGTAAGAGCAGGAGATGTCTGAGGACGGCGAAGAAGCTGAGGCTGAGCCGTCCCAATCCTTCTGCTCTGCGTATGGTGAGTTTTGAGCATTATCTTTCTCACGCATTCATCGATTCCAGCATACGAGTTATGCCAACATCGAGGCAATGCGCGGAAACGACTATGAGAGGATGCCCCTGTAAAAAAGACGACTGGCTAGCTATCTTTCTATGGGTGAGACGTCCTCTCTTAAAACTCCCTCCTTGCCCTCTCGTTTAGATGGCAGGGCATACGCAGCAGCAGGTTAGGCTGTTGCTTCGTTGCGCACGATGTGGTGCTCCAGGCATATTAGACTGACCTGCTGGAAGACCTGGATAAAGGCCTAATGAGGTAGCTGAGTTTCGCCGCAGCACAGCTCTCACTCTCTGTGCTACTAAGCATGGCAGCTATAGTATGTATTGAGAGACATCTGTGGGTGAACCTGGCAGATATCGGGATGGAAGAACCTTCTTGTGTAATGCTGTGTCAGGCAGTGCTCCCCTCGTATTTGAGCTTGCCTCTCCCGTTTGGCCCAGTACCTCCGGGTATCTGTGATCAGATGCCTGAAAATTTAAATCCATGCTATGGTAAGTGCACACGCTACGCTCTGTGCACTTTCTGAAACCCACATAGTGGTAATTGTGCACGTTGAACACTTTGCGCACTTTCTAAAATCCACAGAAGTGGTAAGTGTGCACGTTAGACTTTGCGCACTTTTGAAATCCTGTACGGTAAAGGTTACACATTATAGCGTCGTTCCCTTTCTCTGAGTTGGTTAGACCCCAGTACCTTGGGCTCCACTCAACCAGTGTGTCTCGATTTTTGACACACTTGGAAGTATCTCTCCCCTCACCATTGAGGGTTACTATGAGCATGCTGCTTCCTATCGAGTGCCCAGGTTCGCTCCGTGGGCTGTTCTCGTGGTAGTATTAGCAGTGCTCCCCTTTACCAAAGGGTTGCCTATGAGCGCGCTATTCTTTCTGAGTTCGGAGTTCTCCTCTCACATGAGAGTTGAGTTCTCTGTTTTCCCAGAGCACCTGGAACCAGTAGCATCAGGTGAACTAGGCCCTTCCAAATCCGCCTCTCTGATGCGCTGAGTTTTTGGCTAGC